CTTGTTTGAGATGAACTTCGGAGTAGCTGTTCCCATTGGGATTGTGGGGGTTGATTATAAATATCGCAAATGTGTTCTCGTCTACCATCTTTCTGACGCTATCGAAATCGATCTCAAAGTTTTTTTCAGGGATGAAGTCATATATGCGGAACTCAAGGTTCTTGTAGATGGATCGGACTATGTCCCACGGAAAGCCCGGTCTCGGAAGCAAAACTTTGGCTTTCGGTTTAGCCAAGATTTTTGGGGCTGGATTTCACCCGCTCAACGTTGAAGTCCAAAGTTATGCAAGCGCAGCGCATAGACACGAGATCGCATTAACATACAGAGATTATATGACTCTCCCAGGGCATTTCCTAACAAGAAGGTGAAGTCTTTCTTCACATTTCCTAAGTCTTCTCCGTCCAAGCAGGGAGCCTTCTGAGTCCTCGTTACTCGCGGCAGAAGTCAGGAGCGCAGAGCCAGCAAGGGCACAATGCCAGCGATGTCACACTGCCAGCGATGTCCTGCTAGCGATGTGCAGAGCCAGCAAGGGCGCGCTGCCAGCGATGATGGCACTGCCAGCAATGTCAGCACTGCCAGCGGTGTCAGCACTGCCAGCGATGTCAACACTGCCAGCGGTGTCAACACTGCCAGAGTAACGACAAAGGTCAGAAGGTTCCCCGCGTTAAGGCCCAGTCCAATTATGAAACCCACTTCGACTACACAAACTTACAAATAAGATTTTTAACACACATAAACTTTTAAAAATATGTACTTTTAAAAAGTTCAGTAAATCGTCTTCTGAGTTTTTTTTTTTTTTATCTTTTGCTTTCCCACTCTAGTAATCTAAAAGCGGACTGTTTAGCCCGTTCTGCACGTATTCGAGCATTTGATTTTTCGTATGTAAGTAACTTGCCGCTGAATTGTATTACCAATTCATATAGCATTTTTTAATTAATGTTTGGTTGACAAAAAAAATTCAGTAAATCTTGACGATTTCCAATTAAATCAAATCTGACTGAAAATTGAATTAATGAAACAGAAAAGAAGAAGAACAATGATATAGGGAAATAGAGATGGACCAATGAGAAGATGACACGTGTTTAGTAAAGCTAAAGGGAAAGTGAAGCAGAGAAGAGAAGAAGAAGGATTCGGTTTATATACAAGAGTTACAATTCATTTTACACATACACTGAATTTGTTGATTGTTTTTAAGTAGATTTTCTCTAGATCTCTCTGAGATTTGTAAGGTTTCGGATCTTTGTTTTTTGAAAACATTGGTTTGATTTGTGAATAACATCGATACAAACTTCGTTATCAAACAACTACTTCATCTTCTTTCTCGTTCTTTTTTTCTCCCATCTCCTTCAAATATCATTAGCTTATTACGTGTGATAAGATGCAAAATATGTTTTTTTCTATTTATAACACGAACAATCCAGACTCATATTTCATATCAATAAACAATAACGTTCAAATTGTTGCAAAACAATTCTGATGGATTTTGTTTTTTCCTAGATGGAAATCGCCAAAGAAGATAGTTTTGATACTAACGGCGAAACTATCCAAACCTAAATGAGGAATCAAAACTCTACCACTCGATAATGTGAATTTATTTTCCTTTTTGAATTGATCCGAAAAAGTGGATATAAACTCACTCGCATAGTGATTTAGATTGAGAAAAAGACAAAATCTAGGATTTGAGTTAAAATTAACAAATTTTAAGTAGAATTAAAAAAAATAATAATAATACGGGAATAAGCATGGTTTCCGATGATATCATTAAAATTCATGTCCATCAAAATATCAAACTCCACAACAGAAAATTCTGAACTAGATCCATCAAAACTCAGTGAGACCTAGAAAGTCTCATGCGGTGTGGATGGTGACTTCGTCGACATAGTTAACGAAAGTGAAACTGTAGCCGGTTCACTTATCTCAAATCCAAGAAAATCTCCATAGAAATTTATATTCGTTAATAGAGAATCCAGATCTCGTCTTATTTGGTGCACCATCATACTGACTACGATCTAACTTCCATGTCATGTCAATATCAAGGTGAATACGTGTTATTAGGATTTTGAGTCATGATGATTGTTGGACAAAGCCAAAAAAATTAATGTGTCTTTATTGGTGTAATAGGATTTGGACCTCGCCAAATCATGGAGAAATTTATCATATATAGAAGTTTAAATGATTAGTTATAAAAATAATTATCAACTAGGTGACTTCCCCGCGTACACGTGGATAATTTGTTTATAATTTTATTTTCAATTTCACACTTTGAAAATGTATAAATATGTATTATTTTGATTTTTATTATAGACATTATTGTTGATATCTTTGTTGTTCATTTTTTGTCAACAATATTGTTTTTGCTAATAATATGAATTTTCAAAAATTTAGTTGTACCATTTTATTATTTTATATACGTAAATTTGTCAAATCAAATGTATAGTAATCTAATACATTGGAGTACACAATATATTATAAAAAGTTAAGATTCCTCTAATAAAAGATTGAATCATTTATTTGATCATTTTTTAAAACAAAAAATATCATTTTCTTCACGTTGAATTTTAAATAAAACTGAATTCGATATCGAAATATTAAAATATTAATATGAACAACTCTTCGGAATAAAAAATAAAAACGAAAATTTAATTTGTAAATAATTTTTTTAACTAAAAAACGAAAATTGTAAAAAATTAAATTGTTAAAGTTTAGTTGTACTATTTTATTATTATATATACGTAAAATCAAATGTATAATAATCAAATGTATAATAATTTAATACATTGTAGTGCACAATAAAAAGTTGAGATTCATGCCATATAAGATTGAATCTCCTATTTAATCATCTTATTTGTTTGAAAAATCATTTTCTTCACATTAAATTTTAAATAAAAAATGAATTCGACATCGAGATATTAAAAGTTAATATGAGAAATTCTTCGAAAACAAATAAAAATTAAATATGTCAAAACAAATAAAATTTAATAATGTCGAAAAAGAATAAAATTTAATAATGTCAAAAACAAATCGGTAATATAATCATTAGCTGAAGATTAAAAGTTCTTTTGCTTTATT